ACTTCAAAGTGTCTCAGCACTTTTGTCACTTATTGTAGATCACACAACTATAAACAGGTATAAGTAATAACTTAGTCTGTTCTGTTCTGTCCCAAAAAGTAATAGAGGTCCGATGAGATTTTAATGATAAGCATATTATCAAAGTAGGTTATTCATGGCAAGCCCACTGCAGAGATACAACAAAATTCCCTTCACAGGGATGATAATTGCTACTTCAAACACACGAATATCCAATTAATGCCAACCTTAAAAAAAGGTTGCAGGTTTTAGTTCTGGCAGAAATATATTTTTGGTTTCTTTTTCATTGTCAGGGCCAACCAATATTAATAGGATAGGTACCTTAGGGATAGGGATCATTTCAGGGTCGATTTGGGGATCATTTCAGGGTTGAGGATCATTTCGGGGGCTGAGCGGTCTTGAACATATTTTAATCAGAAGCAAGCTTAGTTATTCAACTTCACTTACTGAAAACAGGCTTACTCAAGCAAGACGAATTTCAATGCTCTAGCCCTGAACACTCAAACTCTTACATCCGTCAACTCCTGGGGAAAAACGCGCTTATACCGTCTTACTTCATCACCTGCTCAAAAGCCGCCAGGGCAAATGTTGTCTTTAGAATCCCTGGCTTATCCTACAGGCATCGCGTCGCTGTTACTCTTCGTGATGTTGTTCCTCTACTGGTATGGAACGCGAGGCTTCGCCGACCTAAAGAAACTCAACGTCCCTGGTCCCAAACCTCTTCCATTCCTGGGAAGCTTTTTACATCTAAGGAAATATAACGGACTGCATCTGCTGTGTGTAGACTACGTTATGAAGTACGGCAAAATGTTCGCTATCTGTCTGGGTACTCAGCCAACGCTTGTCATTACTGAACCAGAATTAGCAAAGCAGATAATGACAAGGGACTTTCACAAGTTCCGCAATCATTTCATTGTACAAAGAACACGCTTTCCTCTCAACCTCTTGGAGGCAAAGGACGAAACGTGGAAGAGAATCCGTAACATACTAACGCCCACGTTTAGCGCGGGAAAAATGAAGTTGATGGTGCCATTGATCGAGAAATGCTGTGACACGCTCGTGGAGAAACTTGAAAATGTTGCTGATTCACGTGAGTAATGAATTTTTTTCAGTCTGCTCGAAACGAATTGAATTTAGTCATAAATAACCTAGCTGAGGTGTTAGGCATTGCCTGAGATACTATGGGGGAGAGATAATACACGTACTTTTTCTTTTTTTTTAAGAATACGTTTTATCAGAAGAATTTCGAGGCTAAAATTTGCGAAATTTTAAGAATGTTTTAAGAATATCCCGAGGCAAAGATTTTGAAAAGAATATAATTTTGTGCGGTGAAAATATGTAAATATAATCCAGTTATATGTTTTTAACTAAATCGTAAAAAAAATCCGCCCTTCTCTAGCGGCAACACTAGCCAAAAAGCAACAAAAACAACCCTAGCTGCCATATGTTCGATGCTACCAACATTTCTACAAGAAGTTATGTGCATCAACAGGCTTTAGTTATATAACGCCTGCAGGCTGGCCATGGCTGGCAAAAATACATTCGAGAACAGAAACGTCATACGCCATAATTTAAGAATATTCACAAGAATATTTCCAGCTTAAGATCGGCAGAAAAATAAGAATGTTCAGAGTTTCCATTCACTAAAAGACTACATCATTTACATGGACCTTAGGACCGAAGAGGTCTACTAAAATTACTCAACCGAAAACGTACATTCATGTAAAAGAAACACTATGGAAATAGTACATTCATACATACATTGCTAGGGCAGGTGGGGGCAGAATATGGCAACCTTAGGGTTGGTGTGGACCTGCCATAAAATTTAACTAACCTAATATTTATACAAAAAAAAGGAAATCTAAAGATCAGCTCAGAAAACTCTTCGAATCTTTGTATGATGTCACTATTTCTGTATGGATTAGAAGTGTCGGCTCTGTTTTTAAAGGCAAACATCTAGATTGAATTGGCACCTTCATTAGGCGAGCCCATCGAGTTGGCTATACAAATAAGATCATTCTGATATCTGATGTTATAAAGAATAGGGACATGCAGTGCTCTGTTTAAGAGAACCACTGATGACACAGGTCATATATTGTATAACTTGCTTCCACCTAAACGTAACAGGACTCTTAGAGATATGGGTCATGACTTCATACTCCCTAGAGTGAAAACTGAACGGTTTAAACGGGCTTTTGTAAATAGATGTCTTTTTAGATTCATTTAATATCTGTTTTAACTTATCATAACTTTGTGATACGTATGACTGGTTTTTAGCTTAATTTATTATTGATTGTAAAGTCACACGTATGCTGTGCGTGATCTTTTGAAAAAGACTTTTCACTCATTCATAAACAAGCCTCTTTTTCAAATTGGATATGATCGAGAGACCTGGACGCATTTTTTAAGTCTTCCTTTATATAAAAGGCGGCAAGGATGAAGCGTCCCTGATGACTTAATTTAGGGATAGCATTCCATACGACGGGGCCCCTATACCTTGCGCTATTTCTACCAACTTCACTATTATGCTTCTAAATTTATAGTTGTTAACAGTGTTGCGTATTCCAAGCAGGGTTGTGAGTTGCTCGGGTAAAATGTTATAGCAAGGAGCCTCCGCTTGTTGCATGAGTTAGTTGTTACAAGTTGGAACCATAATGTCTAAAGTGGTCCTCATAATCCCTTGAAACGTACATCTCTTGCAGACCACAATGTGGATATGCAGGAATGGCTCAGCAAGCTAACACTGGAACTGATTTTATCGACGGCTTTTGGTGTGGACGCGAACATTCAAGTGGGAGAGAACATCGAAATGCTGGAGAACGCAAAGAGATTTTTTCAAGTTCCGCCAATCGTCCGACGCTTAGCTCGCCTTCCAGTCGCCGGCACAATCGTTGAGTTGTTGGCACGTCTCCGAGGGAGCCTGAACTATTTTCGAGACTTAGCGCAACATGTCATCAAAACCCGACGTGAGCAGGGTGCCACAGGACGGAAAGATCTGCTTCAACTTATGATCAATGCCCATGATGAGAAGACCACAGGGAATGTCGGCAGACTTACCGATGAGGAGATCGTGGCCCAATCAGTGCTTTTCCTATTGGCTGGCTCCGATACAACAGGCAACACGTTGAGCTTCACTGTTTACTTCCTGGCGATGAATCCAGATGTGCAAGAAAAGCTGAGGAAGCACATTAAAGAGGCCATGGATTCCAATGCCGACGAGTCTTTGTACGATGTGGCCAAGAGTATCGATTACCTTGATTACGTCATTAAGGAGACTCTGCGGTTGTGTCCGACGATACNACATTAAAGAGGCCATGGATTCCAATGCCGACGAGTCTTTGTACGATGTGGCCAAGAGTATCGATTACCTTGATTACGTCATTAAGGAGACTCTGCGGTTGTGTCCGACGATACCAATGATCAACCGCGAATGTTCTGAAGATCATGACCTGAATGGAATGCACATTCCTGCTGGAACAGAGATTGTGTTTGCTACTTATGCAATGCATCATGACCCTGATGCGTGGCCCGACCCGGAGAAGTTTGATCCCGAGAGATTCCGCGGTCCCGACAAGGACGCCCGCCATGCCTTCCAGTTCCTACCGTTTGGTGGCGGGCCCAGAAGCTGCATTGCTATGAGGTTCGCCCTGATGGAGATCAAGATTGTTCTGATGAGAATCCTGATGAAGTACAAATTTGAAAGGTCTCCCGAAACACAAGTACCTTTGGATATCTATGCGGGCTTCACGCTGACGGCAAAAGATGGCGTGCTAGTCAGAGTTTGTACCATCTAGAAAAATAGGTACCCAAAGGGTACTTGTGTGAGATACTCATTTGCGTTAATAGACACGAGCCGATGACATTAGTGGTATCCCACACAAATATTCAATTGTCAAATGCATCGTTTTCACGTGACGTCAACATTTTCTAAAATCCAAAACTAATAAAGAGCCACCAAAGTTTTTATCCTCATTAAGCATAGGAGGCGATAAATTTATATCTGTTTATAATTTTACAGCTCAACAGCGGGCTTCGTTTGGAAACCAGCGCATTTTGAATTTCAGGGTTTTGGCGTCCTAACAATTTTTTTTTT